ACAATGATCACAAGTTATATAATCATTGAAAAACCGGACGATAGAAAAGGAAAAAACTTGCACAATGATGAAGAACGGAAAAAAGATCACTTGTATAAAACGTGACCCAAACGAAAATGAAAAAAAACAGAAAGTAGCAAAATCACACGCTGTGTGAAAGGACAAGGTCCTGTAACACTCGTGCATGCGGATGAATTCATTTTCTAAACGTATTTTTCATGGCTGGCGACTTGATGATGTTACTTTTTGCCGTTTCTTCTTTTTCACTTGTTGACGGCAGCTGACGAGGTTTCTGTGATAATGAGCTCTTGAATGACTGCAAGTGCATGAGTGTTCTATGTAATCTGTTTCCTAGTGTGTGTGACGGATAGAGATGTCGACCACGTAGCTCAGTGGTTAGAGCATATAGACGCGGACTGTCAACGTCATAGGCCTCGTCTAGTCATCAGTTTTCCATCACACTGTGACTTATTATTGTTTATATTCAAATTTATTTGACAATACCAGATTTCAACAAGGTTATGGAGAAACCTAACTTCTGAAACACATCACACATCTTTTCTCCATCATTCTCACAGCCGCCCAAAGTTTAAGGCCAAACGTAATCGTTAATGCCGAAGAGTAATGCTAGAAAGTAAGAAAATGAGCACCAGTGTCAAGTTTGATTAGGAAGGGAATGAAATTAATCTGTTCGCTGTGCGCCAACAAACATACAACCAATAAACACAACGGTCAGACATTATACATCAGATATTTGAGATTTCATTTCAGTTGGTTATCAGGATCGACGTGATGAAGGAGGAATCTACTTGGTTATAAAGAAACAATCCCCAGTGAAACTAAAATTCAATAATATTAAGGCGAATTAGTTCGACTAGCTTTTAGAGTTCTCTATAGAGGCCCTTTGATTTGCTTGACAGAGCCCAATTTCGACAGACATACATTTAAAACTATAACTTGGCGCACAGCGAACAGGTTAGTTTCATCCACTTCCTAATCAAATTCGACACTGGTGCTCATTTTCTTACTTTCTAGCATCACTCTTCGGCATTAACGATTACGTTTGGCCTTAAACTTTGGGCGACTGTGAAAATGATGGAGAAAAGATGTGTGATGTGTTTCAGAAGTTAGGTTTCTCTACAACCTTGTTGAAATCTGGTACACTAGCACCAATGAAATAGGCTTTAGACCAGTTCAATGATAGAATCGAACCTTTGGATGTTGTATTAATTTATTTTTCGGGTCATGATTTTCAAGAAAAAGTGAGTTCTTTTCTGTTGAGCTTTTAAAAGTCTCCATCTAAGTTTCGGTGTCTATCTCTCTTTGCAGGGTCGTAGTTACTACGCTCTCAAGGACTTTGATATACGTTACGATGATTATCGAACACAAACAATTTGCTTGGAAGATGATATTCTGGAAATGTTTAATAGTCCAAAGAATCAAAAGAAACATACGTTGAATATTATTATTTCAGAATTGTTGTCAGATTGATTGTTAGTCATTAAAAAAAGTTCAACTTTTCTTTCTGTCTAATAGTACCTTCTACGAAGATATGATTAGAAACTCATCTAAACGGTGTCGAATTTTTAAATAATGGCATAATATTAGCATCCACAGGTGTAGCTGAGCGAATCGGCGGTAATGATGCTAATGTCGGTGGCAGTGGTGAAGATGAGGTCGAAGCTGTACGTCCAGAAATTACAAGAGCAGTAAGAACCGTAGTATCAGTTGTAACGAGAGGTTCTTGTGTCGACGTTTGCCGTGATGATGATGAGCTAAAAATTAAACGGATGGCAAAATGTCTCAGTAGGCAGAGGTGTAGCAGTCGTTTCATATTTACCTTGCAGATGGTTTCCTGTCTTTTCTCTTGTCTAGCGTCACACCTGACGATCTTCTGCTTTCATCCTTCTTGTCTGGAAGCACAGGCGACGATTTTCTGCTGTTATCTTTCTTGTCGGGAGGTGGTGATGATGAATGCGAGCTCGTTGGGATAAGTGGTTGTGGTGCTGTTGATTTGCTCGTACGAGTCTCAGGAGTAGCACCATCAGGCTGCACAGTCAACGGCGGTTTCGGTATTGGCTTTTTGGCAGATAGCATATTCGACAAAACGTTGTAAGGATTTGTATTATATATTGTATTTAGCACGCTGTGGGGTACCTGCTGCCCTCTTATTCGATGCCATTCATTGCCTAATGAAGTTTGTGGACGATGACATTGATCAGGATAATAGTCAAAGCCATGTTTAATGAAGTCCTATTTTTATACGAACACTCTCAAAATGCTTAAATACACCCACACCAGGCAGACAGAGAAAGGCAGCACTAACCTGTCTACTCCAGTTACTAACGTCAGGTAAGCGAATATCAGGTTGGGTAGAGTTCGATGTTTGATTCTAAATGAACTCACAAATGGAAAAGTGAACTGGACGTTCAGTTTCGTCAACACGTACCCTTGTACTCTGAACTCGTTGGAGCCTTTGTTCGTTTTTTCTTTGATTCCATAGCCTGTGTTGCTCAAGATGTAGCTTGTGTAATCGTCTGTATAAAAGAAGAGAAATAACTTTATCAGCCAGAAAGGTAGGGCTGAGACAACTTACTCTTGAGCTCGTTTTTCAAATTCTTTGCTTGCAAGTGCCTCCCGTCTTTCAGCCTCTCTGATATTCGCTTCATAAATTGTTTCTGGATATACTTCATAGTGTTCGTTGACCTGTAAGTAGAGAAGAGGAAACTTTTATACGTAAGAATGAACGACTTAAAGAATATGCTCTTTCCAGTGCACTTACCAAACCAAATTTTCGATATTGTCTCGATCGTCGTTCATTATCAAAATAGTTAGTTAAATATGGATCCCTAAAACTAGAGTACGATCTGTTTAAGACTGACATAATGTAACTATATAAATCTAAAAAAAAGAACTTAAACACAATTGCTTTTACCTAATATATTACTAATTTTGGAAAGATAAGAACAGAAAGATCATAGAATAAAAACTCGTTTCATGTGACGTTTATGTAAAAAGAAAAGAAAATATTGGCAAAGCAAAGAGTTTTTCCCCCTGTCTAAAAGTTCATTATGTCACGTGTAATACGAAATTCAGTTGTTCTGCTTCTTCTTTTGTACCATATCGATAACCGTACAGTTCACTATCTATTCGTGAGCCAACGTAACAGCTTCCATCTGCGGTATGAATATCAGCTTTATGATAAAACCCCTTCAACGTCCATTTTTTATTCACATCTTTTGTTAAGATTCGCCGTTTACTGAAGTTTTCCGTATTATTTTGGTTGTTTTCCTTTAATGATGGAATACAGACAACATGAATTAGCTGTTGCTCCAATGGTTTACTGTCATCATGCTGAATTTTTAAACTTTGCAGAGCTTCCAACATGAGTACAACTGCATATTCACCAATTTCTCTAGCTTGGACTTTATATTCTTCTTTCAGTATCTTTCGCTTTGTGCTGTCGTAACATAGACAATATTTTGACTCAACAATTTCTACTATTGCTCCTTTCGCTGCTTGAACTGTGTCGTCAAGTTTAAGTAAAGCGTGAAAACTCGTATCTTAAAGTCAACTCTTTTCAGCTGAAGGCATCGGTGCCGTATTATTACAGAACTATTCCGATGGTGATCATCCCGTGGCATATCTATCGAAAAAATTCACCGCAACTCAGAGCAGGTGGTCAACTACCGAACAAGAATGTTATGCACTC